TCACCCAGGTCACAGGAGAAGTGCAAGACAAATGTAGAAAACTGTGACACTGGGCTGCAACCTGGTTGTATTTTTGCTCAATTTGTAGACTGAAAGGATATAGTTTCATCGCCCAGCTTCTGAGTTGAGTGCAAGGCATGACACTGTGAGCTGCAGATTTCATTTGGAATGTTTTTCGACTGTGACCAACGTGGTGGGGTGAATTGTAGATTCAGAAAATGGCACGATGCCTGTTGTCGCAATATTGGTGGTGCCATTATGTGATTAAAATTGATCGCGTGTTCAGCTGCTGATCTTTTGGTGACTTCTGCTACCTTCCATGATAAAACTGCATTTCTAATGTCAGACTGTTTGTCTTAGCACTTCGGATGGCTACAGTATGCTTTTAATGCGTGTGTATGCTAGATATGCTGAGACAGCAGTCTGTCAATCTTTCCACAAGGGACTGTGATAAACATTCTGTGTGTTTTTTGTTGCCACAGGAACGGAGCAGCTATTGGGGTGACCCGTTTGCTATAAAGCTGAAACTAAGATTGCCAGATTAACCTGGTATCAGTAAGACAACAAAAGAAGAAGAAGCAGAAGAAGTTTTATGTTGTTTGGCCATCTAGCTGGGAAAATGGCCATTAACATACAAGATTACCTTTTAAAATCTGAAGTCTCCATGAAAAATTTCCTACATATTTGCATATTATTGCCACATGGTAATTAAAATAAAAGCAAGTAAAATTAAGTTTAAACACAAGAAGTACAATTCATAATTTTCAGTTTTTTATAAAAAATGATTGTGATTTCAGATTTATGTTGAAGATGCTACCCCTCTACATTTCACATGTTCTTCCCTGAATGATCCACACATGGAAACTTTCGATCATTTGTGAGTAACAAAAACTCTATTTTTATGACATCAAATGATAATGCTTTTTATTAGGATTTACATGTGTAAAACTGTATTTTTTGTCTTTCCCTCCTCTACCTCCGTCCCCATCAGTTCTTATATCTTTTATATCCACTCCCAATGGGACCAAAGCCAGATCTCATCTTATGCCAAGCACTCCCCCCCTCCCCCTCCATATCACTTAAGGCTGCCTCCATGCTCCCTAATGTTATTTGGGCCTGACTCTGATTTCTTCCCTGTGTGCTTCCATGTGCCCTTCTATTTCTGTTGTCCATAAAAATGAAGCAAGTGCATGAAAAAAAATGAGACTTTACATGTCTTTGGTACAGATGGCATATAGTTCGATCGATTTATTGATCATTCCTGGCAGTACCTACAAGTTTACCATATCCTCCTTAAATTTAAAAAAAAAAAAAAGAAACTAAAAAAAAAAAAAAATAATCAGTCTGACAAGGCAGATCCCTGATACCCCATTCAGCCTCCACAAAAGTTATAATTAAGACCCTAGCATTGGCTACACCAGCCTGACGTGACCTGCAGTCCTGTGTAGGTAAGGACAGCACATAGTCTTAAGCCTAGATTTTGTAGAGACCAGTCAGCATCATGCTGGGTGTCTTTACTTCCCAGAATATTGCCTGGCACCCATTTTTTGCTGGGCTGACCTGGGAGATGAGATCAGTTTGGAATCAATCTGACTCACTGGGGATGTGACTGTAAACCTTTGGGTGGAAAGGTCAGCATTTAGCCACTGTACTACTGTGGCTTTTTTGACACCCGTCAAAGTACTAACCTAGCCTAACCTTAAAAGTGGTACTAGACATTGAAGATGCATTGGCTGTGAAAGCACATAGGGCTCAAGAAGTGGCTTGAGAAAGAGAAACTTTCAGGTATGTCATGATGAGAGCAACGTTCTGCAAAGGACCTGCTGTTTGGTGATTGATGGTCATAGTTAGTTGCACACCCTTTACAAGACATTGCAGAACCTACCCCAACATTTGTTAGCTGCTTTGGAATTGCTAGGCAATTTTATGTTCAGTAGTTTGCCATTTCTCTCACCTATAAAAGTCAATGCAAGGCCATCTGCTACCAAATCACCAGCAGCTGAAATCAAATCCGGTGCCTCAGAATAACAAGAAAAGATATAAAATCGAATGAAAAGTAAATTAGCTTCTTAATATAACAAACACAAACAAACCATGAACGTGTTCTCTAGCCAGCAGTTAGTAATCTTAGGTAATATTAGACAAAGACTAGTTGCTTTGTCTGAGCTAAGAACTGGAAAAAAATTTTAACCCCACATGGTTGTAAAATCTGGACTTAGTGCATAGTAAATATAATTCTTAGTTATTTTATTCACAAAATAAATTATTAAACATATTAAATTCTGAAAACACTAAGGTGATTTGTTACAGAAGTAAAGGTGGCCGGCTTCATACTGACCACATAACCCACAGAGTGTCGATTGGTCTGTGTAATTTAGGTCTACCCCTACAAGCTCTATGCACCTGAAGACATGGATAGGGTACATTACTTTTACTTTCACTTATTATATATCTTATTCTCCTCAAGGCGGGAAAATGAATCCTTCACTTGCACTTAAAATGTATAGACCAGTGGTTCCCAACTATTGTGATTTGTGGAGCTCCTTTTTAAAATCAATTTCTATGGTGGAGTGCCTTAGGCCTACAATATCTTTACAAGTTAATGGAGCTAAAAGTAAACATGACATAGAGTGTGTGACAGGCCCACTCGTTTTTGTGGTCTGTCAATCATTTTGGAGCCAGTGCCAGTAGATTCTAGCTTCGTTTTGTTTATTAACCTTTAAATTCATTGAATTTATTTATTTTTGTGGAGCTGCCGCTGAGCTCCTGGAAATGCACACGGAGCCTCAAGGGCACCGTGGAGGTAAGGTAGAGAACTGTGGTAAAGACTGTCAGATGAGGTATTCTTTGTTGAATTTTGTAATCTAGAAAATATTAAAACTTGCATTATTATGTTGCAACAACATTATAATCACGTTTGTTGAATTGCACACAACAAAATTGAGTCTTTTAAATTAATCACTCTTCAGATTCTTCGACTACCTTGTCAGTGGAATTTACACATTAATCAGACATTTGACAAAACCAATTGCTGTAAGTTTTTAATTTTTTTTTTAAAATATATTTTATTTTCATATAAAATAAATGGCTCTTAATTTAATCAACCTCCAAAATGGCGGCTTTAATATGATTGCGTTCAAAAGAGAACTAAATTGGCCAATTTCTTGCCATAAAATATCCAAAAATATCCAAATGGGGCTCAGTTCTATTAAAAATATGCCGGGGCTCCGTATAACGAAACAACGAGGACAAACATGGAGAAACTGGTTGCAGGGCAAAGCAAGAAGATATGCCAGTAAACTCCTACTGGATACATTGAGCATGGAGACACTGAGGTAGTGGCTGCTGCATCAGAGGATGTAGCAGGAATAGATTGAACTTATGTGCTAAGATGGGAGTCACTGTGGCAGAACGGCTAGAGGAGCGCCGCGGATCAGAAGGTCGTAGGTTCGCTCCCTGGCGGAGCCAGACTTTTCTTTAAAAAATGACCTTGGCTCCCAGGTCGACCCAGCCTTGAGTGGGTACCGGGTGCAGTCCCAGGAAGTAGAGGCGGCCGGCGGGATGCTGACCACATCACCCATCTTGTGCCGTTGGTCTATAAAAATATAGGTCTAGCCCTATATGCCTAAAGGCGTGGAAAAGGGTTCTTTACTTTTTACTTTTTATGTGCTAAGATGTTGATATGGACAACAAGTAACAAGTATGTTGCCACTATGTGTGCTGTTCAACCATAACACTGTCCTGGGCGTGCAGACACCTAACCATATACATTTTGCATTCATTCACTATTTCTTTATGTATATTAGAATATTCTTCTTTATCATTCTTTGCAAAAGATAATAAGTCAACTTTATCCCCATGTGGATTCTAAGGTGCAATTTTGGAGGCCACCACTTCCTTGAGTAGAAGGCAAACAAGCAGACTAGTCCAAAAGTGGATGAGCAACCAAAACTTGTCAAAGCTGGTGAACCTGAAAAAAGAAAAACGAAAGAAGAAGCTGAATTGTATATTTTATCATCATTATCATCAAGTGTTTGCTGACTGGTGTGGGTGATCAGGCCTCTGCACATTTAACAGTCTACAACAGCATGTTTGAGTTCTTGTGCTGACACGCTTTCATGCCATCATAAAACACTGTCAAGAATCTTTTTGCATCATCTTCCTCTGTCTTTCTTTCTGTTTTTCACTTTTTCTATTCTCATAATATGGCCATAAAATGATGATTAACTCTTTCTGGTGTTTGTGATAAACTGACGTTGGGTCTTTCTAAACATCTGGATTATATCTAGATTACTCATTTTTGGCAGTCCAATGAATTCAAAGCATTTTTCTGCAAAATCATATCTAGATGCCTTAAGAAATTTTTAATAATGTTTGAGTGTTATATAACATTTTGTGTTATATTTGTTACGTTTTCATGCATTGTATATATGCAGCATTTTGAATATATTTATTAGTCTAGTTTAATGTTCACTGTATTGTTGTTAAAGGTTGTTACTAAGACCAAATGCAAACATGTTGTGTTATCTTTGTTCTGTTTTCATGCATTGTATATATACAGCATTTTGAATATATTTATTAGAGTCTAGTTTAATATTGACTCTATTGTTGTCAAACTGACTGACTGACTTCCTACCCCACCAGGACATCACATAAGCGATAAACACCAGATGACACAATGTGCCACCATGTGGATAAGGTACACCGTGAAGAGGTCCCAGAAACCGCCTTTAGCCATTAGGCCATATTTATGGCTGGGCTATATTGCAGCCCCTGGCATAAGCCAGAGTAGGACTTTAAATAATGCAAAATTTCATCCTAAAAAGGACGGCAAGATTGTTCTATATAGGCAATCATTGTTGTCAAAGGTTGTCACTGAGACCAAATGCAAGCATGTTGTGTTATCTTTGTTATGTTTCATGCATTGTGTATATATATATATACAACATTTTAAATATATTTATTAGTCTAGTTTAATGTTCACTGTATTGTTGTCAAAGGTTGTCGCTGAGGCCTACCAATGTTCAGCATACGGTGGCACATGCAACTGTGCTGCGACAGTGTTTTCTGGGAAGAGTTATGTCAAATTTAGTGTGTGCACTGGAAAAGCCATTATCACTTTAAAACCTGAAAAAAGATCAACCACCACAGAAAGCCTGGGGATGAGAGTATTTTTAGAGAAGAACCTCCAGAAGGTTCATGTAAGTCTTAACTAAGTATATCACCTACAATAATTGTAATTAAGTATTAATTAAGTTTATCACCTACAGTAAGTATAATTAAGTATATTCTGGTCAGTGTCTTGGCTTAGAGGTTATGAATTGCAATATTTAGTTTCATTTCAGCTGTAAATAGTAGGGAAGCAGATCACATTGCTTTGATTTCTAAACAGTATGAGCATCAACCATTCCTAGATGCACTGGTAAACTATTGTTGCAAAATTGCCATGTAAAATCACTAACAGATAACAAATTGGCCCATAGTATCCAATTTTGGGAAACCCCCTGATTAGTGACCTTTTACGCTTCCCCTGTGGGTTCCAGGGCCCCAGTGTAGGTTCCGGGGCTCCCAGTGTAGGTTCCAGGGTCCCATTGTGGGGAAAACAAGAAACATCACTGCCTCCCCAGCAAGCATTTTGTAAGAATCAGCTAATTTTGAGCTTCCTTCAAAGTCGGAGTGCATCTGCTGGAGAGGTAAGGAACCAACAGTCTGCATACAAATAAGTCAGATCTGTAAAACAAATGTGCATACAACACTAAGGTTCTGGAAAAAGTCTTAAGTCCAGAGGTAGAAGACAGCCACATTTTTTCCACAGCCAGTGATCACAAAGAAGAAGAAGGAACTATTTATGAAACTGATGTTCTATAACTGCACAGATGGCAGAAAATGCTTCATTTTTGACATTAATGAAACAAATGTTCTGAATCAGCACAACCAGTAGTAAATATTTCATTTATAATACTGGTGAAGCAGACGTTCTGAAACTGCTAGATGGTAGTAGCAAAGGTCAAATTTACATATTAATGAAGCAGAAGTTCTACGACTGCTAGATAGTAGCACCAGTCTCATGCAAACAGTCCTTAGGCACCTTTTATTACATGTTCACAGGGTTACATACTATTCTTTGCTTTCCTTAAGTGTTACTGTAAAGTTCAGACAGGCAGACTAAAAGTTTACTTTAAAAAAAAACATTAGAACCTTTAAAAAAAACATTGTTTAATTCTTTGAGGCATTACATTTAAAGATCATAACATTCATCACTGTCATCATACACCACTTCTGCCATTAACTGGCATGGGGAGGAATATTTTGCACGCTGGCTGGCACTGGTTATTGTCAGGCTGCAATGTCATGCGTAAAGTGTTATTGTTGTTGATCCATATTTTCATGGCCATCCTCTTCCTCTTGTAGCTGATATTCTGAGATGTGTGCCTTTAATGGTATCTGATGTTGCTGCATTCTAACAATATGGCAGAACCACTTGAAATGCTGTTTCTTGATAAATTATAAACAATACTTAGCTGTAAATTTGTTTCTATACTTCAGTTATTTACTTTTTGTGTTAAAGGTGCTGCTCTTGCAAACTGGCATTATTGTCAGTATTATAAACAAAGACACGTATCTGCAAGTGACCATCAAAGCTACAGCACTGGACATTGCACAACTGCAAGGTAACCTAGATTTACACTGTAATTTATGAAATGAAATCAGTGTTTTCTCCACTGTAAATTTGAACAAAGGAAACATAAATAATAGGTTAATTTGTTGAGATGCAAAGGAATAGACCAGGCAATCATTTTTGAAATCTGTTGTAATGTATTTTTTTTTTCAGACTTTAATTTTCTTTAAAATGTATTTCATATTTTAAGGGAGCAGCTTTCAGAAATTTGATTTGTTTATACTTTTCATTAACTGCTCTTCTCCTAACCCACCCCCCCCCCTCCCTTTTTTTCCCACGCTGCTACTGCTTGTATTTACCATTTTTGTGGTTAGAACCCCCCCCCCCCATCCCCCCACCACCCCTCCCAAAACATTTTAATTGAAGATTTGAACATCATTCTTCTGCTTGTGAGCCCATGATTCTTAACCATTTGGCCAACTGTCCTCAAAAACAACTTCAATGACAATCATCATCATCAGTTCTCGTTATGCCTAGTGGCACATGAGGCTTCAGAGAGGACTTTCCGTGCTTTCCTGTCCTGTGCAATCTTCAATGCAGTTTTCCATGTCAAAGATGCCGCACTCAGGTCACTTTTTATCGTTCGTCTCCCTGTTGTTTTTGGGCGCCCCTTTTTTCTCTTTCCCTCTGATATCCATGTAAGAGCTGTTTTGGCAGGTATATCAGGATTCATTCTCATAACGTGTCCAAGCCATTTCCATCTTCTCTTGGTAATCATACTGTCTAAAGTTTCTTGGTTTGTGACTTGAAGTAGTTTAGTGTTTGAGATTGTATCTGGCCAGAAAATGTTGATAATTCTACGTAGACATGTGTGGTGGAATAATAATAACAATGATGCTTGAAAATTAATTTCATATTTGAAAGTTTTTAGGAAATGTCAATTTTTTCCGTAGAAAGATTTAATCAGATGACTAAACAAATAAAAATATGTAATGTAAACATGTTAAAAATACTGTTTTGTGTTCCTGTTTATACAGTAGTTTCAACTGCAGTTGATTTGATGATTATGGAATATATAATCAGTAATGAGGAACGCTTTCAAATATAATGTTTGAAAGTTTTTATGTCCTTCACTAGAAAATCTAATACATTGATTTTAAAAATACAAAAATGTGCTGTAGAATTGTTGAAATTCTTTGTTGTTTTTCAGGTTTATGTGGTAATTTCAACACGTATGGATTCGATGAATATGAATTGCCCAATGGAACTACACACATCTTGACTAAAACTGATACTCAGTTTGGTGTTGTTAATCCACTTGCCTTTGTTGAAGCATGGAAGCTGTAAGAATATTTCTAAATGTTTCAGTCACAATTAGTTTTTACTCTAGCCACTACTATCCCAGGAAGTTAAGATTTAAAAAAAAAACATTTTTAAGGTCTAAAGGGGTTTAACACAGACACTGCGGAACAGATATAATTAAAATAATAATTCAGACATAATTGGTTAATGCACTTCTGTTCATGATAAAGAACAGTAAGTACACTGTAGTATTTTTGGAATGATCAAGAAATGTGTTTGGTATTGAAAAAGTTTTTGAAAAAAACAAACCAGTAGGCATTTAGAGTGAATGCCTAGTAACACCATTCCATACAAGACATACACCAAAGGTGAAGAGGTACACAGAGTAAAAACTAGGCTAACAAGGTGGAAAAATAGTATGAGAAAAACTCTATGACAGTTTATGCGTAAGGTTTCCAGAAGAGCACCAAAAAAAGTACCTTGTTTCCCCTTGATACCCGGAGTAGTAAAAGATTGAAGAAGAGGACAGAATGTATTTTTGAAGTTTTGCTTTAGTTCTACCCATTTCTTGTTACTATTCTAAACAAGATATTAACACAGTTTGTGATTAAGTTTTAATAACTCTTAACAGCTCAACAGCAGATGCAACAGATCCTACAAAAGTATTAGCTCCTACAGTTATGTCATCAGACGAAGCTTTGGAACCTGCCTGTTACTCTTGGATCACTAGCAACAGTGAAGACAGTAGATGTTCCCCCACTGTTCCATATAATATATATGGTTTAATCAGCGGTAAGAAAAAAATGAAATTATAATGTAATAATTCTTGGTGTTTTGTGGCTATAGCTTCAACTTGTTCAGCCAGCAACTGTTACCTCAACTCCAACTGTTGCATGTAGTTTAGCCTAAAAGCCAAAAAATGCAAACATTTGAATGAGTTAAACGAGGAAGTAAAGTAGTTGACCTAATAATTATGATTATCATCTTCAGTCAGCAGATTCTTTAAAGAATGTGGTTTTCATCACATCGTTCATGAAAGTCTCTCTTTCTCTAGTAAATTTTCCAGCTCTATGTGCTTTCATAGCCAATGCATCTTCAACGTCCTCTGTCCACATTTATGTAGGACAACTTTTGCCTCATTTTCTTCAATTGTATCCTCCATTACCGTTCTCTCCAGTCCACCATGATGTTTTATATGGCCAAAAACCTTAGGATGCTGTTTACAAGCCAGTTTTTCCTGATGTAGGATGTTGATGTTTTTCTTCTTCTTCCGAGGTATTCTAAGAATGATTTTTTCTGCAATTTTTCAGTTCACAAGTTTCAATTTTGTCTTCGGTGATTGAGGAAGAGTTTACTCACATCCATTAAGTTTCCACAAGAAAGCTGCTTGAATAATTATGAAATAAAGGGCACATAAAATATATGTGTGTGATAGAAGACAGCAAGAACATTATATTATCTTTTTTTAATACCAAGAAACATATGGTAAAGTTTGTCCTAGATGGCTCAGTCTGTCTCTCTTCAGAATGACTAGCTGCCACACAAAGCATGATTTGTGTAGCTCCAGCAATAGTCCCCAGGGATCTCAGAAAATATTGCACTCATGAACAAAATGAAGCAGGCTAAGCAACTGATTCACAAATTTCAGAAAGAGATACTTCTTCCTCTTCTTCTTAGCGTTCAGTGGCTGTAAACTCTAGCATAAAGTTCTGGTTCCAAAACCATTTGTGGACTTTGGTCTTGTTCCAAAACTCATGTTTTGCATGCACATCCATTTTGAAGATTTTGCTTATTTGTATGTAGACTATTGGTTCCTTGCCTTTTAGGCAGATATAGTCTCATTTAGAAGGAAATACCTATAATTAGTTACTTGTATGGCATGCTTGTTAGCAAGGCAGTGGGTCTATTATTTTTTCCCCCTCAAGTGGACCCTCAGAACCCACTAGGGTAGAGCATGATACAAATGGCTTGACTACTTAATCCCAGAGACCCTCACTCTTTAAACACTTTCTTAATTCATGCAAACATACTTTTTTTTTCTTTCTTTCTTTCTTTTCTGACCCTGTTCTGCTTTTCACATCAGGCTTAAACAGGTGTCTGCTGTGAACCTTGGTATGTGCTATGCAGATGTTGGTATTCATGATCTCAGATATTCCATCTATCCTTGCCTGTCTGTTTGACCTCTATCTCTGCTTCCATTGTTGTCTAAGTGGCAGGGCTCTCTCTAAGGTTTACTATTTTGGAAATAGTCTTGACAAATGTTTGAGCCATTTATTATATTTAGTCTTTTGATGTAGTTTAGCCTTGTTTTTATTCCAACTTCTTTCCTCTTTCCTGATATAATCATTTTTGATCCTGTCTCATCTTGTTACATTTAGGATTTATTGTAGACATTTTCTTTCTGTTGTTTCAGTTTTTTTTTTTTTTTTTTTTTCTTAATAAAAAATATGTGGATAGATCTCATTATCATTTGCATGTGCCTAGCCAACTGGTATAAGGCAGTTTTGGTCATTCACATTTCCTTTATCTATCTTACTTTGTAATGTAGTACATTGTTTTTTGTTTCTTCATATTTCTTACAGGAACCGATGAAACAGTCAGTCTGTTGGCTCTACATTGTTTTTTGTTTCTTCCTATTTCTTACAGGAACCGATGAAACAGAAACAGTCAGTCTGTTGGCTCTACATTGTTTTTTGTTTTTTCATATTTCTTACAGGAACCGATGAAACAGTCAGTCTGTTGGCTCTACATTGTTTTTTGTTTCTTCATATTTCTTACAGGAACCGATGAAACAGTCAGTTTGTTGGCTCTACATTGTTTTTTGTTTCTTCATATTTCTTAAAGGAAATGATGAAACAGACAGTCTGTTGGCTCTATCGAATCAAGATATAAGCACAGCTGCCAAGAAAAGGAAGAAGAGACAAGCTGTATTTGAAGATCAGCCCAGCAACAGCACTGTCAGAGTGGTATAACTTCTTTAAATGCTTTCTAGTTCAAATATTCATTTAATGATCTATGGTCATTGAATAAACATGGGTTTGTACAATGTTCTTCATCCTGCGTCGTCACACTGTTACTGGGTTGCAGCTAAGTGTCTGGTTTTTTTGTATTTGTATTGCACTTCTTGAGTATGACTAAAGTAGTAGTTTTATTCATCTTTTTGTTTGTTGTTGCAGGATTCAACTATTAGTCTCTTCCTTCATCTTGCTCTCATCTTTCGCCCAGATATTCTGCTGTAGAAGGTCTCATATACAGTTTGGAATGCATTAAAAAATAAAGCTATGCAAGTTATTCTAAAGCACACAAGGGGCACATTGATTGTGTGCATGCAGCACATACTTGCCTTGCCATTTACAGATGGATCTGTAGTTAAAAATAAACAAGAGGTTTCATTGCACCGGGGAAAAGACAATTTGAAAAACAAATACCTCATATATTTTTGCACATCTAGCATGATAATGCAGGTCAAAGCAATAATGGGGCAGTTTTCAAATAGCTAGATAGTAGTACTGCCCAAAATTTTGTAAATATAACCGACTCACAGTGCGTGTTTCAGAAAACTGAAACTGGTGTCTTGCTCTCAGAGTAACTTGCATTGCTTGAAAAGGCTAAGGTGAAAAGCATATCATGAACCTTTTGCCCAAAACATTCTGGTGTGTGTGATAATGAGCAGGCTGATAGATTAGCTGCTGCCACCATGCTGGGTGATGAGCTACTTTTTGATAAAGCAGATGTGGTGAAGGCTGGAATAAAGAAAACAGAGCATCCATATCTGGAGAGATGATTCAACTAGGAAAAAGCAGAATCTAGACAATTTTCTGCCCACAAGGATTAAAAAAAAAACCGGGTGAACTTTTAATCAGGTTGCATCTGGTACCATCAGCATGGGAGCTCTTCATTGGCAACTGAGGAAGGGGATGAAGCATGCATGGGAATATTCAGTATCCCAAGTTCAGTGATGTCAGTTCTTGAATCATTCATTCACATTGATAAGTGTAAAATGTACCTAATTTTTTTATATGTTTTTTAAAATATTTTTTTTAATTTTTTTAATTTTAGTATTTTAGTATTATCTATTTATGTCTTTTTCATGTTGCTGCTGATGCTTAGGGCATTCATGAATGATCTCCATGACTGTGATTGTGGTGCTTTTCTGATTAACGGATCCCATGTCATGTCGAAAAATGATGACTGTCTCCTTCTGATGTCTGTGATAAGCCCGAAGACAACTTATCACAGACATCAGACATCAGAAGGGGACAGTCATCATTTTTCGGCTATGTTATGAGAAGATGGAAAATAGAACATGTTATGACCACTGGAAAGATATGTGGAAGGAGGGATAGGGGAAGACAACGAGAGAAGATGTTTGACAGTCTTGTTGCATGGCATGGAGGTGTGTTGTCACATGAACTGATACATGCTGCAGGAGATCGCAGATTATGGAGAGGCATGATTGCCAACGCCAGTCGGCAAGGCACCTGATGATGAGGATGATGATGTCATTTTACTTTCCTTCACTTCCCTTCTTCTGTCATCTTCTGTTGCCTATGTCTCCTTTTTTCCATCTCTGTCCACTGGAGAGCTATCCCTGCCAAAGTGTCACCCGGCATTTTACAAACATCCCCATGCCATCTCCATTTTCTTTCTTTGATATTGTTTGCAAATAATGAGAATTTTGTTTTCCTCATCAGTTCTTTATTTTTTTTTCTTGTTTGGCCAAAAATGTTTGCAGGATTCTCCTATACATTTAGTTTGAAAGTGCCTAGTTTATGTTTAATTTGTGCTGTCATTTTCCAACACTTAATGATGCATAATAGTATTCATAAAATGTTGCTCTCATATATTCTGAGTTTTGTCTTCAGAGTAAGTCCCTTTGTCATCCATTTACTGGGAACTATATCAAATGCTTGGTTTTGCTTTGATGTTACATCTTTTTCATAATCCCCATCTGAAGTAACTTTATATCCCAGGTAGGCAAATTCTTCAACTTCTTCTATTGCTTCATAGTTTGAATTTTCTGTTTTCTGATTATTTCTTGTTACTTTGGTGTTAGAGGTATTTATCTGGAGTCCTAGCTCAAGGGCTATTGTTCAAAGTCTTTCAGTCTTTTCCTGAGCATCCACATAGCTGCTTGATTTAAGACTCTTGTCATCTGCTTAGTCCAGACCATCTAAAACCAAGCTAAGGGACCATCCAATACCTCTGCCCCTTGTAAGTTCTTTTATCTACCAGTTAATGGTAAGGTTGAACAGAAAAAAATATATATATAGTATTCATCTCTGCCTAACTCAAGTGTTGGAAAAGAAACTTTCTGTTGTGTGATTTTTCACTGTAAATTACTTTGATCACATTTACTATATTCTGTGATATGCCTTAGTGAGGCAAAATCTTGGATATAGATCCCTACCCACTCTATTATTCAAAAAACAAAAACAAAAAAAAAACCTCAGATAACACACACAGGGCACTATTCCAATTGTTAAATTTTTTTTGATGCAATATGAAAACATGGTCAGTGCATGATTTCCCTTTTCTAAAACCTGCTTGCTCTTGCCTAATTTAACTATCAAGTGCCTGAGGAGCCATTCTCTCTTTTTTAGGACAGAAGACATTATTTTTTTAAATGTACATTTCAGAACCTTAGTCAGCCTACATGGAACCAAAGTAAAGCAACAGATTTCTGCATGGACAATATGTTCAACCCACCTCTACGAGCTTGCAGAGATGCTATTCTATCCCTCAACGACACAAGATATTTGACTGCTTTTGATATCCCACTGAAAATATGTGTGCAGGACCTTCAAGTAAGTGTACTTCTTAAACAACGTATGTTTGCACATAATTGGGTAATAATAACAATCTATGGTATACTCTAATATTGCTTTCAAGTGTGGCGACTTGATGGGCTATATAATCATTATTTGTGTACAGGTAAGCCTGAGCCTTCATGATTTTGGAAAAGCCTTAATTTTTTGGGGTGGGCCAACAAATTGTTCTGCTTGTCGCTAAGTTTTCAAGTTCATCTGTCATCATCACATGCCAAAATCTACACTTTGTTTTCCCTTTCTGTCCATTGAATTTTGCTCTGCAATGTTATTTCTTCAGCTAACCCTTCATGTGTAGTCTTGCACTGCAATTTTTTCTTCTCAAATTTGTATTATGTCTTAAATCATATTTACTAGAAAACAAGAACTGCTCAAGTTCCACTATCATTTCAGTCGGTAAAAAGGCTCAGTTTTACAAGAGACAATCACAACATAAAGTAGCAGTCAGTAGGAAGGCTCAGTTTTACAAGAGACAATCACAACATAAAGTAGCAGTCAGTAGGAAGGCTCAGTTTTACAAGAGACAATCACAACATAAAGTAGCAGTCAGTAGGAAGGCTCAGTTTTACAAGAGACAATCACAACATAAAGTAGCAGTCAGTAGGAAGGCTCAGTTTTACAAGAGACAATCACAACATAAAGTAGCAGTCAGTAGGAAGGCTCAGTTTTACAAGAGACAATCACAACATAAAGTAGCAGTCAGTAGGAAGGCTCAGTTTTACAAGAGACAATCACAACATAAAGTAGCAGTCAGTAGGAAGGCTCAGTTTTACAAGAGACAATCACAACATAAAGTAGCAGTCAGTAGGAAGGCTCAGTTTTACAAGAGACAATCACAACATAAAGTAGCAGTCAGTAGGAAGGCTCAGTTTTACAAGAGACAATCACAACATAAAGTAGCAGTTGGTATTCAGGTGACAGAATGGATAATGTGGTAAGATAAGCCTTGTGTTTAAACAAAACAAAACAAAAAAATATTAAAACAAAAACAGCTCACAAAACACGCATTAACAGTTAGAGAAATCAGAAATAAGTATAATTGACCTAAATTAAAACTGTAACAATAAATCAACACAAATAAAATGTATTAGAAGCACAGCTTCTGTCTGTAACTCGAAGTAAGCCAGTCTCAATTCACTATGCAGATGATTTTATAAGTATTAATAAGGAAGCAATTGTATACTTCAATTTGATCGAGAGGGAGCGCCATTGTGTAGCGGCTAAGTATTCACCTGTGGATCTGAAGGTTGTGGGTTCAAATCTGAGTGGAACTAGACTTTTTTTTCAAAAATGATCTTGGCTTCCAGGTTGACCCAACCTTAAATAGATACTAGACAAAATCGTAGGAAGTAAAGGTGGCCAGTATGATGTTGACCACATCTCTCACAGAGTGCTGATATGTCTATAAAATATTGTCTAGCATTATATGCCCAATATGTGTTGAGGCATCTGATCTGATCAAAAGTTTGTAGATAGGACATCTATCAGCGAAGACACACCCAAAAAAAAAAAATGTTAAGGCCAAAGTACATGTTAAACACATCAAATATAAATTAGAAATTTAAAATTACAAAAGCAGAAAAAAAAGGTCATCACCAGACTGAATTTAAAATTGCAAAACATGTCTAAAAATAACAGTTTGTGACCCTAAGGATTTACGGTCTCATGGCCACGGACTGTGCAGGTTAGGATTTCATTTTTTTGTGTGCACTTCCCCTTCCCCCTACATAATAAAATCCTCAATCTTACCAAGGATTTGGACCTTGGCCTACCACATGAGAGCCTAGCGTTCCTAACCATATTGCCAGGCACCCCTCATGGTAAAACCAAACCTTCATACTACCAGCATGACCAGGCAGCTCATTTCTGACCAGTTTTTAACAACTGTAGACAAAAGTTTACCCTCAGTCACTTCTGTGTGCACCTTTTGCAAATGAAAATCATGTGCCCAAATATTTGTATAACTTCATAAGCTTGAATAAATATATATATATATATATATATATATATATATATATATATATATATATATATATATATATATATATATATATATATATATATATATACAAGAGTGTGTACAGTTCGGAGGAGCAGATGAATCAAGAGTCTGGTGAGATTGATGCAGGGGGGAGTGACGAGATTCTGGCAGATGCTAGGGGGCTCAGAGGAAAGGCAAGATTGACGTTTAATCAGAATGCTACTGGCACCATTAGTATGGGAACTCTTCACTAGCTGCTGAAGATGGGGATGGAGCGCTTATGTGAATGCCCCGAGTGCTGGGATGTCAGCTCTTGAATCAACTCCATATATATATATATATATATATATATATATATATATATATATATATATATATATATATATATATATATATATATATATATATATATATATATATATATATATATATATATGTTCATTATCATCATCAGGTGCCTTTCCGACTGGCATAGGCGATCATGCCTCTCCACAATCCTTGATCTCCTGCAGCATGTACCAGTTCATGTGCTGACACACCTCCGTGCCATGCAACAAAACAGTCAAGAGACTTCTCTCATTGTTTTCCTCTATCCCTCCTTCCACAGATCTTTCCAGTAGTTGTCACAACATGTTCCATTTTACTTCTTCTCATAACATAGCCGAAGAATGATGACTGTGTCTTTCTGATGTCTGTGATAAGTTGTCTTTGGGCTCCCGCCTCTTTCAAAACCTCTTGGTTGCTCTTTTTTGGCTGTCCAAGGTATTTTAAGCATTCTTCTGTAAAAACCACATCTCTGAGGCCTCAAGAAATGTTATGGCCTGCCTACCGATTGTAAAGGACTCACAGTGTATGTAGCTAGCAAGAATTCTTTTTCTAACCTTCAATGACAGAGATGTATTGCATAAGATGTTCTTCATTTTATATATATATATATATAAATATATAATATATATATATATTATACATATATTTATACACATGTATATATTTTTAATTTTTTTTAACCTCCTACTGTCGAATGTTTAGCCTTTAGGGCAATGATTTTAAAATCCCCCTCGACCCTTTTTTTTCCACATTAAAATATATGAAAGAAGCAATTAACTATATTTATTTTCTAGCTAACTGGTGACACCATGTGGCTTGAGGCATCTCGAGTAGCGGCAATAGAGAAATGTCAAGAAATCATCAGTCAGAACCCACAGATGGCAAGTAATCTGGCTGCAGCCTTTTTAAACATGAGGTGTGATCCATTTGACTGTAATGGACATGGAAATTGCTCAAACGGTACATATTTTTCTTTAATTCAGCTTGCGCCTTTACCAGTAACATCATCATTAATTGTATTCTTTCTCAAATGTTGTTTCTTTTAATGGAAAATTTGAAAGTTATTATTTTTTATTTTTATTTTGGCAGTCACACTGTCATTTATGTAGACTTGTGACGGGCGAATGCTTGGCGTACAGTGTGACGTGCTGTAAAGGCTGCATCAACACTTAACATGCCACTGGCCAAGTGTAACACAACATGAGGAATGTTGAAGCTTCCAAACGTAGTGGAACGAGAACTCTTTTTAAAGGTTCCATTTGTGTATTGACAATAGCAATGATCAACACAAGGAGAAAATATGCAATTAATAATCCAGACTCATTCAAGCACATCAACAAAAGCCCGCTCGTACATCCATGGACTCATATGTCCTCACGATAGGTCGCAGTCCGACCTTGAGATCCAGACAGTCATCTTTGTCTTTGGTTCCACAGTCTGAATTAAGTAATGAAAGAATCCTGGCTTACTGCCGAACTGTGACAATATACCAGCTTTTTGCTGAGGTCTACAGTGGAGTCCCGGGTTAAAGCATCCTTAAGGATCCACACGTCCGTCTCCTTCGGACTGTAAACATCAACTCCTTCCGTGGCATCCCAGGGTAAAACGTCCTCAAGGATCCACCATGGCATCCCGGGGTAAAGCATCCTCAAGGATCCACACCAAGGCCGGACCACCGTCCGCCTTGGTCAAACTTCGACTTTCATCCCCTAGAAAGCAATCCCTTCACAACCTGACGTATTGTCTTATTTGCTCACTCAGTACTGGTGTGTTCTAGTGCACATCCGCACACGACAAGACTGTTGTAATAATTCTGAGCGCATCAATATCCTGTGGTCTTTTTTTCTTCTTTTTCTCCAGATACTCTTTTATTATTAGATTCTGCAGACCATTTTATTTTTCAGTATGACTGCACAGTGTTCAGCTCTAATACCTACAACCACCTAGTACATTATTTAGGCATCTGGTGTTAATGAATGCCTTCTTATATTACATTAGATATATGTTTTTTTCCCCAAGGTAGCAGCTACTTCAGTGCTTTCAGTCTTTGACCCTATCACCCCCGTGACCCAGCAAAAAAAAAAAAAAAAAAGCTAACCTCCCATACTTTAACTTTGTTTTTGATATACCAGAAGCGAATAATACTCTTAAAAAAACATTTTATATGTCTCATAACAATAAATTACACACATTCTATCATCCAGTTGCAATGAATTCAGTTAGACACCTTATAAACCTGTCTCTATAGAGAGATGGGAAAATGGCTCTTGGGAAAAATGGTATCAACCGGAAGTGTCAGTCTAGTGGCTTCAGAGGGCAAAAAAGATTAGGTCTATGTGTTAATTATTTAGAATAAAAATTACGCGGACAGGGTGGGTTAATGTAACAGCTGGGACAAAATGTAATAATGTGACATGAGAATGGAGCAGAACGTAGCTTAGAAATGTATACCATGTATACAATTAACCAACCAATGCATGGTGAGTTTTTTTGTACATCTTATTATTGATTTCTCTACTCCTAAGAATGCTTTACAGTGACAGGGCTGAAAGAGATCTCTGGAATGGGCCCTTCATCTGTTTGCTTCATATATAGCACCCTTCTGTGTATGCAATATTTCTATAGTCCACATTTTGCATGGTCGACCTCCAGCTCTGTAACCACTCTATATGTATGAAACTGCTGTCTGTGTCACCCAACCAGTTGCCAGTCTTGTTACATGTCCAAACCATTTCACCTGTTGTCTAGTGATAAAGTGTAGTACTCTACTTACCATGCCATCTGGACTGGAAGTCCTTGAAGTGAAGAGAAATATTTTCACCTCAATTTTCCCTACTCTCACTGCAGGTGTGTGTAACTGTGACAGCAACTATGCAGGCACCAAGTGTGACGTCCATGTCAGCGATCTGAACCAGCAGCCATATCTGACACTGAACGAAGATGACGAGGCCTACCTGTGTGAGATTACATTTGCTTCAAACTGTTCATCAGTCTTTGTCAGTGGTGGGAATTTTGTCAGCTCTGATTTTCTGGCATGTCACATTCGAGAAGTGGAGGTAAGTGTCCTGTAAATGACTGTCTATATATTTTTTCACATGCCAGTTTTGTGTGTATACATCAGATTACAAACCCTTCTTTGTGTTCACCAGCTGTGGGTAAAGGACCCCTTTCCACACGTTCATATAGGGCTAGACCTATACTCTAAAGACCAGTCAGCACTAGGTGGATGATGAGGACAGCATCACGCCAGCTACCTTTACTTCCCAGGACTGTACCTGGTACCCACTCATGGCTGGGTCAACCAGGAAGCAGAGGTCATTTTTGAGAAAAAAAATCCTTCTCCGTCAGGGCCTGAACTCATGACTTTCCCATCTGCAGGTGAGTGGCTAGACGCGACACCATGGGAGTTCCCTCGCCAGCTGTAAATTGTGGCAGAAAGTTGAGGTTGTCATTCCACATCAGGTCTTTGGGGTCTTGTTCTAGTACTAGAGTTTTGTAAGAATTCATTGTTTTTCCTTTTTCTTTCTTTCTTCATTCCTCATTAAACTTTTTTTTTTTTAATTACATGAAAGGTAAATAATCATGTGTTCACATATTTTCACTGCCTTTATTTCCTCAGATTACAGAAACCGGTGTAAAAACTCTGGCACCTGGAGAGGTGACAACGGTGAAAGGAGAATTAATAACCACAAACCAGGTCAAGTGCGACCTTGGCAGCCAAAGCTATATTAAGAGATCTGTGGAAGTCTCTGTGAGCAATGATGGGAAAACACCATATGAGAAGTACCAGACCTTTATTGCCTTTGACCCTGTGTGCTATGACTGCAATTTATACAGCTGCAAAAAGAAGGTAGCTTTTGTTTTAGTCTGACTCATTCAAATAAATGCTTGCAAATATTTGTGATGAATAAGGATTATTTGTCACAAAGCATGTAATCTTAAGTTTATTTTCACTTCTGTATTACTAGCTGATGATATTTTAAATATTTCTGTTCCAATAAGCTCTAGCTTAGAATAGCCAGTGTTTGTGTCTAAAGCAGTTAAAATTTTAACACTATATTGCAGAAGGGGTAAAACTAATGAGCTTGATGTAAAAAGTTATTGTAATAAAACAACTTTATCTTAAATTTTTTATAGAAAATAGTCAGAAATTTTTACCCTCTTTCAATTGCCTAGTGAACAAATAATGAGTTGCATGAATAATGAATTAAATCTAATTAACGTAATATTTATGCAAGGAGTAGGTTTTCTCATAAAGTTTTTCTTTTCATTTAATACAAGACTTACGTTTGATTTCACCAGTAATTTCTTGTTTAGTTGATAGTAAGAGGCCTTCTTATTCTAAATAGTTGAGAAAGTTTTTGTCAGATCAGCTGTTTTCTCACTCTACTCTTGGATTTGTTGGCTACAGGAACACCTGTACTGGACAAATGAGACATTCTGAAACCATTTATGAATGAATGCTGAAGGTGACATGAGATTATATTAAATAACATGTGTAAGATTATGTGAACATGGAATTAGTAGTGGATCCAGCAAGGAGGGGCGTACAAGAGGAAGAAAAGGGGGTGTGAAATCAGTGTTAACATCAGAGCAGTTTACTTCTACACCTTAAGACATTTGCTGTGGGAGATGGAGCACCTGTGGGCATGCCTAAGTGCTGTAATGTTGATTCTCATATCTCTGCTTGTATTTTCTTGTCAACAATGTCTTTCTTTAAACTTAATCTATCTAAAACAGTCTGATCTGTTCTCAGTGAATAATCTTTTAATCTGTCATTTCATAAAATTATTGGAAATAATAACTTGCACCAACCAGGTCAGATTTTTTCTGGCCCCGCCATGCAAGGGGCCTAGCAAGCGACATTGGTGTATTTGATTACTACTACTCAGGACACATTGTGAGATGCGCTGTCTCCCCAAGGTCACTAAGAACACTAGACGAGACATGGCTACGAATACCAGCGTTAGAGAGAAAGTTGGAATAAGACCATGTCTGGATTATATTGACCGGCAAAGAATGAAATGGTTCGGCCATCTAATGAGAATGCAAATGAACTTTTACTATAGAACACCTGGGAGGAAGGCGAGAGGAAGACCAAGACAGAGATGGATGAATGGTGTAGCTAAAACCTGCAAAAAGATAAACAAATCCATCACTCAAGCCACCTGAGAAGCGCAAGATAAATACAGAAAACCATGTCACTGGGCTACAAGCTTGTATCAGTGAGATGAAAATAGAAGAATAAGAAGACTGGAAATGTAATAATACCAATAATAATCATAAAAAGTTGATCAGGTCATTCTCTAAACAGAAAGAAAACTTATTAATATGAGTTTTTTGGGGGGTGGGGGAGGGGGGAGACAAGTTTTTGAAAAAATATAAGACATTGCTGTAAGTTCATAGCTGACTTTCTGTTTCTTTTCTTACAGAAAAATGTGTGTATCATTGGAAACAGATGTGTGGCAGAAGGGCAGACCTCTGTCTACAGTGACTGTCAGTACTGTAATCTCAGCTCTCCCAACATTTGGTCCATTCGACTTGGTATGCCCGTAATGTTAAAGTAACTTTAACCATTGTGTCAAATTATCTGCTTATAAAAAGTTTTATAGTCGGTGAATGGAGGTATAAATAAGAGCAACCTGCTGACATGTCTGATGTAATTGTGTGTCACTGATACCCTTGTATCTGATGATGGAAATCTCTATATGTTGCACACAAACACTTTAGCAGTGACAAGGAATGTAATATTATATCAGAATCCACAAATACTATGTTTCATTTTAGGTTAGTTGTCAAGTTTTGACTGTTTTGCTAACACAGCTATCTTTAAAAAAAAATTTTTAACCAAATCCAACTAAAAAAAAAAATATATTTTTAAACAGTGTGCACACATTTAGTATTAGTTGCATTTTCTTAACAGGACATGGTAGAACCAACCCAAGCACTTTCTGGCTGTTGTGGTATTATTAGGCAAATTTACGCCCAGTAGTTTGCCATTGCTTTCTGGACGGTCAGCTCTCGGTACCACAGTCGAAACCATCGCAAGACAAACTGTCCGCAGCAGGGGTCGAAGCGCGTTCGCAACGCCTAAGCCACAGATGCCGACGTGCACACATTACCTGTTCTATTAGATGTAACTGTCCCTGTATGGGCTCGGAAAGAAAAGACCAACTTCCCCTTAACAAAATTAGGTCATAAAAGGTGACCAATTGAGGATTTGCTGAAGTTGGATGTGTTGGGATGAAAGGGACAGATATCATAGCCTAGCTGTAAAACAAAAACATAGTGTGCCGACCCACACTACCATTTTCAATGACAAATTATTTCAGACTCTGCCACTAAAACTGTGTCTCCTCTGTCTCAAAATATAGCAAACACAAGTAAAGGGCTCTTTTCCACGCCTTCAGGCATATTATGGATATAGGGCTAGACCTATATTTTATATACCAATCAGCACTCTGTGGGTTAAAGGTCAACATCACATTGGACGCCCTTGCTTTCCAGGACTTTACCTGTCACATTTAAGCCTGGGTTGACCTTGGAGCCAAGGTTATTTTAAGAACATATTGGCCTCCTGTTTTAACAACTCCCTCAAGATGTTTCAACGCTTCCAAGTCACTTCTTGCAGTATATTTTGTTGGAAAGATCAGGCAATTAAAAAAAAAAAAAAAACATTTCTTGTCTAGCCTATTTTATTTTTTTAAATTATACTAATTTCACAAAGTTTTACTTTATACTGACAGAAAATTCGGATTTAGATGTATCAAAGTAAAAAAAAAGTGTTATCTTTTAAACATTTCTTTAAATATGTGTTGTTGATCTATTCACTGGTAACTATAGTTTTGACGGGATTTTTTTCCCCTTCCAAATATTGCATCCTTCCTTGCAGACAAGCCTGAATGTGAATCCCTGATTCCTAAACCTGTTGGTGATGACACAGACAAACAGACTCTAACCACAGCACTCATTGCTGTAGGATGTTCTGCTGTGATCCTTGTTATCATTCTGGTTACAGTGTGCTGCATAATGAAGAGGTAGGTTGTTTTTTCTGTTTCATTATTTCTGCATATTACTATTTACCATATTTTTACCATAACTGCTAATGGTAATGTTAGTTTCAGCTTCATAGCAAACGGGTCACCCCATAGCTGCTTTGCTCCTGTGCCAACAAAAAAACACACATAATGTTTAACACAGTCCCTTGTGGAAAGATTGACAGACTGCTGTCTCAGCATATGCACTAGCATACGCACGCATCAAAACCATACGGTAGCCATAAGAAGTGCTAACAAAAACAGTCTGACATTAGAAATGCAGTTCATTATCGACGGTAGCAGAGGTAACCAACAAATCAGCAGTTGCACACGTGATCAATTTTAATCACATAAGGGCACCTCCAATATTGAGACGACAAGCCACGCGCCATTTTCTGAATCTACAATTCACAACACCACGCTGGTCACAGTAAAAAAACATTCGAAATGAAATCCGCAGCTCACAGGGTCGCACCATGCACTCAACTCAGTAGCTGGGCGATGAAACTATATCCTTTCAGTCTACAAATGGAGCAAAAATTCAACAGCCACCGGCTGGCAGAAGCAAAAACTTTGCCACGACTCAAAACAGTGACTGTGCCTAGCGTCCATTTTGACTGGAAGTCCTCACCATAAGTGCATTACATTTATTGATTGTGCATCAGGAATCAATGTCTTTGGCTTATCCAATATGAAAGCAGTTTCATAGTTCTGATCTTAAATACCAGGATCGCCTTCAGCTGTGGTCACTTTGGCATCTGACTGCTTTGCATCAATTTCAACAACAGTATGAATGTTGCACTGTTCAGAAGGCAATAGCAAAAACTAAAGAACATAACAATTTCCTAGCAAAACCTTAAACAGTCAACAAATGCTGGGGTTTGTTTGAGATATCCTATAAGGCAGTATTCTTTAACTCATGGGCTGCTTGCAACTTTATGACAAAATCTACCACTGGAATGAATAAACTTGCAACTTTATGACAAAATCTGCCACTGGAATGACTTTAAACTTGCAACTTTATAACAAATTACCAATGGAATGACTTTAAACTTGCAACTTTATTACAAGATCTACCACTGGAATGACTAAACTTGCAACTTTATGATAAAATGTACCACTAGATTGACTTTAAACTTGCAGTTCTATGACAAAATCCTATTAATTTCCAAAAATGTGTCATTAATTTTTTAATTTAGATACGCAGCCTCTAAAAATATCCTTCATATTTCTTGTATTAAATTTTACACATAAGATAGCTTTCAAAATAAAATAAAAAATAGTATATACGTGTTTTTGATACTATACATCAGGTTAAAGACCAGTCAGCTGTTCATCATAATCATTTTATTGTGAGATTATACACATAGGACATATTCTTCCACTACCTTCTATATAATGTTTCAATATAATGGATGCAATCTAATCCAGTACTGTTAGCTTCTCTCATAAGTGTTCATTTTAGTGTTACTTTTGGACATAATTTCCTGTCCATATGTTTCACATTAAGGTGCTTGTTTCGGGGATATCTTCATTTGTTTCTCCAAAGGATATGCCCAGTTTATCGGCATCTTCTTTGTCTAAACTGTTTCTACTGGTGGTTGTCCAGACATTTCTCTTACTTCTTCACCTTTCCTTAAGTCACCACATTTAATGTCCCCGGTCAAACGTTGCTTGCTGATAATCATAATAAATTGCCCACTAAGTATCTCACACAGAGATACTAGAATACAATACACAAGGCAAGAGCAGATTTCATAGCACAGGGGAATTTGTGGGCTCATACAAATTTAAAACTATTACTAAACTAACCATTTGTAATTCTAATGTCAAATCAGTACTGTTTTATGGAGCCCAAACATGGAGAGCAACTAAGGCAATTAATAATAAACTACAAACATTCATTCACAGGTGCCTGTGCATAATAGAGGGAATTAAATGGTATGACAGAATCCCTAATGTAGAGTTTTGGGAGAGAACAATACAAGTTCCAGTGGACCAAGAGGTGAAGAAAAGACGCTAAGCTTGGATAGGATACACGCTGGGAAAACCTGAGAACAATATAACTAGAATGTCTTTGCACTGAAACCCACCAGGGCATAGAAATAAAGGAAGACAAGAAACACATGGAGAAGGGAGCTAGAGAGCCAAGTTAGAAAAATGGGGAGGACAATAAGAGAACTGCATGTGATAGCAAAGGATAGAACAACTTGGTGTGAGTTAGCTGAGGGCCTATGCTCCATTGGGGGTTAGAAAGGCAAAGAAGAAGAAGTATCTCACATCAGTCTGTTGGTAAGTGTGTATCCAAATATAATTTTTAAACTGCAGGAGAGGCAGTAATAATGCTTTATCGTCGTCATCATGTGCCATGCCGGTAAGCACAGGTTCTCACATTTCACCATCTCACATGATCACCAGAATCACAGATCAGTTCAATGTTTTATGCACAATATATATGGTCATTTCAGACGCCAGAAAGGGAGGAGGCGGCGGTCAGCTCAGACAGATGGCACGGACAATCCCAGCTTCCATGAAATGCCCTTCACCGGCAAACCTATCCCAGCATACAAAGCTCGCCAGTGGGCAGACAGCAACGTCTCGCCACCAAGCTATAACCAGTATGCCTAAAAGGAACTACTGACCTCTCGCCTGAACTCTGGACCTGATTCTTCTTAGATAACATTTAGTATATAGAGTACATTAGTGACTACTTAGTTGGGATTAGTTAGCAGAGGGATGAAACATTAATTACTGCTTAGTAGAGGGACTAAACATTAATTACTATGTAGTAGAGGATAAAACAATAATTAAAACTTACTAGAGGGGCTAAATATGAATAATACTCAGTGGATGGATCAAACATTAATTACTACCTAAAAGCGATTAAAACACTAATTAGTACAAAATAGAGAGATTTAACATTAATCACTATTTAGTAAGCAAACTAAACATGAATTACTTCTCAGTAGAGGTGCTTTCAGCTAACAAAACCATTAATCTATTGTTTTCAACAGACTTTTAATAAAAAAAATATTAATCTGTTCAGTTCAATAAAATATTACATTATCATGAAATTAGTGGGTTTTACAGCCTTTACAGCTGAGTCGGCTCTGTGGCTAAGTCGATGCGAACGCTTCCTAATGCCGGGATGCCAGGTTTGATCCCAGTTGTGGGCATTGTGCCTTGCGTTGGTTTTGACATTGGTATCAAGAAAGCCGACCGTTCAGAAAGCAATGACAAACTACTGGACGTAAATTTGCCTAGAAAAACCACACAACAGCCAGGGGCTGTAGGGGTTGGTTCTGCAACATCCTGTACAACATCCTGTAAAGGATACGCAACTAACCTTTATGGCTGAGGTACAATTCATCAGATAATATTTTCCTATATCTGAAACTGAACTGTTAGATTCATCACTGGGCAGACAAACAGCTAATAAAGCAAGATTACTTATATATGTTTCTTTTGTTCCTTCTCATTTATAACAATAATAGCTACCTTGAAGGATCAAACAGATTGTAGAATTTCTGTAATATCCACCCTCGAAGATTTTGTAGAGATAATGAAAAGAGAGATAAGCTCCTCTGCATGCTGTGATTGTAATATAAATATAGTGTCAGGATTTATTTACCTTTATTAGTATGTTAGTCTTTATTTTATTTGCATCCTTAAAAAAATGTTTTTGCAGATCAAACTGATTAAACATTAATAATAATTATTAGTATAAATAATAGAGGAAAAGTCACAATAATAGAGAAAAATCCCCATACACGCCTACATCGTGAAAGTTGTAAACACAGGAAGTAATGACTGGGTTTTTGTGTGTGTGGGCAGTATTAATAATATGAGCCCTGTTTTTAAAATATGTTCTGTACATACAATATGTAAAATATAGTAAGAACAAGCATGAAAAACTAAAGTGAAACTCCCACAAGACAGCAGCAACCTTCCATTCTGTCCCAGGTCAGTAGATCAAGCTAGTACTTGCTGTGGACATAGGGTATCCTAATTATAATTATCTTAGGAGTTTGAACAGGGTATCTGGGTTTTGTTGGAATGACATCTGGCTTTGCTGTGGTGTCAAACCTTCTGACTGCACCTGGGACAGGATAAACTGTCAGTCTTCCTAGCACACAGAATGTAACAGAGCACCACATATTTTTTTTTTTATTATTATTCTTTAAATGTAGCTATTTATTTATTTATTTATTTTCAAAAGTTTCATATATGACACCTACAAATCACTGAATTTATTAATATAACCAAAACAATTTATTGTGACTGTATTTTTTTTAAATCCACAGGTTTTTTTTTCTACTTACAATATGAAAATGTTAAAATAATCTGTTACACTGTGAAGTGTTCTGCTGGACTAAGCAACTTCCTGTAATGATAAAGACATATGAAATACTGTTTTTTCTAGCCTAGTATCAAAGTACCATTTCTACAGGGTATTGTGTTGCTGATACCTTCCACACCCGTCGCCCTTTTTTTCAGACTGCAACCTGCAAGTCTGACCACCCTGATATTACACAATGTCAGTCCAGTTGACAAAATCCAAATACCCCCCCCCCCCCCCCTTTTCCATGATCTGGTATCTTATCTAACAAATGTCATGTTTTCTGAAGTTGACAATACTATAAAATGCATGGTACTCATTTATAAAATTTATATATGTCAAGTAGAAAAATTGTAAACTATTTTTCTAACAATATAACTGCTTCTTTTGTGAAAATAAGAGATAATTTCCTTCTCTGAAAATTTAAAACATTTACAGTACCTGAACTGGTGGTTTTATTCTAGAAAATGAAACACAGCATAACAGCAACTTTCAAAGGCAATTCAATTCAATCAGCACTATTGAAGACACAAATGTATTGTTTTGTTGTGTTTTAAAGAAAATAAATCTGCAAATTCATAGATGTGTGTTGTTTTTAATTGGTCGTTTTGTGTATACTAGACACCTATCTCAGTTTTAGAAGATTGGACTATCCAGGTGACATCAGTCTAATATCAATGCTCAGGACAAGATTGAAAGACATGACTTTTGGCAACTAAGATAGGACTCAAGACAAACACCAGTAAAATAATAATGTAATATGGTGGCTTATTTCAAGGACTCTTTCTACAGCTTTCAGGCATACTGGGCATTTGGGGCTAGACCTATATTTTATAGACAAATTGGCAGTGTGGTCAACATCATACCAGCTGCCTTTACTTCTCAGGTTTTACCTGGTACCCATTCAAGGCTGGGTTGAACTGGGAGCCAAGGTGAGTTTTGAAAAAAAAAAAAAAATGTCAGGCACTATCGGGACCTGAACTCATGACCTTCATATCCGCAGGTGAGCGTCTAGCCGCTACACCACTGCAGCTCGCAAGTTAGCTTATGCACTGTATCTGGTTTGCTCTCTAAGTTCTTTAATATGCATAACACGTACCTTGTGATCATCACAACGACCAACACAAAGCATATCCAAGTGTGGTAGTCTTGCAGATTTTGTTCTAAACAAATCTGCAGCATCTGAAAATTGCCTGGCAGCCCAGACAAAAAGTACATACCTAAAAGATCACTAAAGATGGGAGGATAATTTCCCTCATCATCATCAGCCCTCTGTGCTGTTTATACGTCACATACAAGGCATATGCCAAAATAGAAGTATGTAGAGCACAAGGTACTCCAAGAGCAAGGTGGGAAGATAACATCAGAGAAACTCTACTACACCATGATATGTCTATGGTCGAGACAGTTGGAAGGTCTCTTTCAACACCTGGAGTGATACAAGAGGAACTAAAGAAAAAGAAGATATGGCACATGGGGCTTCCATTCTGTCATATCCTGTTCAGTTACATCTCACTGCACTAGAGATTATCTTGTACGGCTCAGTCTCTCTCTGCAGAATAATAGTTGGCAGTTGCGAGAGTCCCACAAAAACATGAACTTTGTTGCTTCTTTAATATACCTCCAGTGATCTACTAAAGATATGTACCTAAAGTAAAGAACAGTGTATCTATATAAGGACAAGACCTGCAAAACAAATGCTAACTGCATCTAAATATTGTAGCGTGTTTGGTTAGCTGCAAATCAATTAGGACACTGTAACCTTTAACTCACAAGAATCTGCATTCAAATGGTCAGTTACTTCTTCCATGCACAGGAGTGAGCTAGGTGAAAAATACTGTTCTTCTAGCCTACTACCAAAGTACCATCTCTACAGGGTATTGTGTTGCTGATACCTTCCATTCCCCCCCCCACCCCTTTTCAGACTGCTACCTTCAAGTCTGACCACCCTGATATTACACAATCTCAGTCCAGATGACAAATCCCAAATACCCCCCCCCCCCCATAAATGGTAATAGAGGCTCCTATAATGGCCATACCAACCTGATGTAACCTGCAACCTTGTGTGGCTGAAGATATATCACTGCTGATCTCTTCTACAGCTCTTCACAACCAGAAACTAGAGATGTGTGTCAGAATTATTCAAAATTTTGTCTGCAGTCCTATTATGATTCAGCACATAAGAACTGATATTTTTTTTTAAAGCAAATAGGAATTTTGGCAAAAGGAAGTAATCAGAGACCACAAGTGAACCAAAGTCTTTATCACTGAAGATATCAACAGAAATACTTGATTACAAAAATGAATAACTCCCAACTGAAAAATAGCATCAACAATAGTTTGATTTCCAGACAGAGAAAGTTAACGCAGGAAAACAAAAATATATACATAAACATGCGTCTTTATTGTTTGTTTTAGTATCCAGAAGCCATGAGTTGTTAACCCTTAGGCTCGGTATTATGGATATCGCAACCATTTGGCCTTGATTCCATTGTAAATGCCTTAAATCTGGGAGAAATGTGGCTTTTCTGCCTACCCCCGGGAGTGAACCCGGACCACACAGAGTTCGTCACCCAGTCACCGCAAGATCCGGTTTAGCCAACTACGCTAGAGAGCCGGGTGCGTCTTTATTAAGACATAATGCTAGATGTTCATCCAAGTTGGGTTAGAAATACTTAAAACTATGAATGTCTTACGAAAAGACAGTTGATGCAGTCCTCCGAGTGAGAATGTTTAATAAGGAATCGACATCACAGCACTAAGGACACTCCCATAAGCGCTCTATCCCCATCTTCAGCAGCAAGCAGGGTGTTCAATTGTGATGGCACCAGTAACTGTCTTATTGTATATCCCCTGAGTGTTAATCAGCCAGATCCCCTGGTAACTCCTCGCAACATCATTATCCTCAGACTGTAATGATCTATTTGTACCTCCACACTGTTCACTCGCTCCCAAAGGGCCCCAACATTTTCTAGCTTACATCAATTCACCACCAAGTGGTGCAGAACCGGCCAGTAAATCTGTTTGCTCATTTCCCAATACACCAACATTACCTGGAGAAAATAATCAAAGAACGCTAACTGCCTGGGACCTCTGAAGCAATGCTTGCCACTCTGCACAAAGCATGCCTGTCTCCACCTTTCTCAACATACTCTGTGAGTCAGTTACAATTACTCCACCTTTCTCAACATACTCTGTGAGTCAGTTACAATTACAACATGTATGTACAGCTAGATTTTCAAGCCAGTGGAAGAAAGCAGTAACTGCCTCCACTTCCATTCTCAAACTA